TTGTTCGGATTTGCTCAGACTGAAAAAAAATTAGGAAAATTCACATGTTCGGAATAATCTACGCATAAGTTAGGCTGGAAGTAAAAGAGATTGCAAGGAACCTTTAGTACAGAGTTATGAGAATAGTAGTTTAGAATAGATAGTTAGGGACTGTGCGGATTAACGTATGTTGAAATAAATTCATAACTATTTTTATGCAAGTATTTACGCAAAGTTATTTCACTTTGAGTTCGAGAAGGAAGGTTGTTTGCAGATAATAGAATAAATAGAATAAACTGTATAAAGTAGTCTAGACAAGTTCACCCCCTTTTTCAACGTGTCAATTGATTGTCTGAATGGTCAGCATCTCATTCGTTGTTGTTGTTGTTGTTCTTTGATTGTTGCCATCCTAAATAAAAACTTGTTATGCCTAATGATGGAGTTTTTATTTTGTGACAAGGGTCCTCTCGACTTGTTACATTATAGATAACTATCTTCATGAAACATTAACGCGGTTCATAAGATATGCCAACGAGACACGTCGATGTGATTTAAAAACACTTAAAAACAGTTTTCAAATATTAAATTCAATTTTGGCCATCAATTTATGAAAAATGAAGATGTTTGTTAATTTTATTGATAATTTATTAAAACTTAGAGTATAATTTTGATTGTTTTATCTGTTCTTTTAATATTTTCACTGGAAATGAGGTATGTGTTTTCCAATTTATTTGCTACTCAAAAGCAAACTCAGGCTATGATCTTTTTTTAAAAGCAAGGCAGGCTACTCACTGATAAGTTGTTTTAATGTTTTAATGTTTTTGTTGGCAAAAATGACCTAACACTGAATCGGTTTTTGGCTGGCTTGTTTCATAACGATCTTGTTTTTTATGCGAAAGTGACTACGGAATGCATATATAGGGCTTACGATTCTCAAACTTTTTTTCCTTTCTTGGTCATGCATCATTTCGCCTCGTTTTAAATAGTAATCCAATGGCAGGTATGTTTAGTCACGTTTTGTCCGCCGTCACGTTATGTCCGCCATCACGAAATGTCCGCCTCTTTTTCGGAAAAATCGTCACGTTATGTCCGCCGTCACGAAATGTCCGCCTCTTTTTCGGAATAACCGTCACGTTATGTCCGCCGCCACAAAAAGTCCGCAGACGGGACAAGGGTAGTGATGGACAGTAATGTGGCTTTCCAGGAGGGGGGATCCTGAAACCTGGGTATTAGAAAATAAAAGAATTAATCTTTATTAGAAAGTTTTTACGTTTTAGATTGTCGCCCGCATGGAACAGTGGTTAGAGCATATACTCTAGAGTCACAGACTAAGGAGTTTATTTTTATATAGCGGGTTCGAATCTGTCCTTCAAATGAGTCCGTAAAAAACGAGATCCTGTGTCAATTTAAGTGATGGCACAAAAAAAAAAATCTCTCACTGTTCAATCATCTTCAGTGACCCTGAAAACCCAGTACAGATTTAAAACTTGCAGCCCTCCACCGGCAGGTAGTGGTATCTCAATATGAATGAGAAATTCTTAGAAGGGATGTTAATAAATCAAACAATTTACAAATCAAACATTTTGAATTATATTTTACATGCGTTCTTCATGAAAATGAGGCTCCTGGTGATGGACGATTTACAGAAATTGAAACAAAAGTTGAAAACACTAATTTAGCACTAAGACACACATAATTCATAATTTCAATGTAAAACTTTTTCACTTTTCAGAAAATTCTAAATATTTAGTGAGGCATTTGCCTCACTTGCCTCAATGGTAGTTACGGCCTTGGCAGGGACAATAAACGTATACAGCAAAACTCGTTTAGTACGAACACGGATATTGCGAATGTACGGATATAGCGAAGTCATCATGGATCCCCAGCCATATATTAATTTAATGAATTTCTTATACGGTTATAACGAATTGCGGATATAGCGAAGTAATTTCATATGTCCCTGTAACTTCGTTATAACCGAGTTTTGCTGTAATTCACAAGGTTCCCTTTATCCATAGATAATTTATGCCAGTATTGGTGAAATTGGTTTAGCGGTTGCAGAGAAGAAGCTGAAAATGTTCAAATATTAACACACTCCGCACTCCGCACGATGCAAGACGATGGACGAAAACGGATAGCAAAAGGTCACCTGAGTTTACTCAACTGACCTCAAAATCTTAAAAACCGATAAGGCAACTGCGCCAAACAAGGTCCTAGCACTGTTACAACGCACTTTGAAAAATTACGCACTTTGAAAAAAATTTTCAAAGTGCGTTAAATTTTGGGACCAAGTCAACGCACTTTGAAAAAATAATATTTCTTTTCAAAGTGCGTTAATATGGACCATATTAACGCACTTTGAAAAACTGTGTATGGATTTGTCAATATTCCTGCAAGTCTTAGGTATGATAAATAATTGAACTTGTTTGATAATTCTTCTGTGAAGAGGTCACTTCAGGATGTGAAAGTTTGCGATTTTGATTTTTCCATACTTTGAAAATTCTTTCTCGCTTAAATGCTTTACTGCACTTAATTTTTTTTCAAGTTTGCATGCATTTTATGTAAAGTTAAATTTATTGAAAGTTTTCAACGTCATACCAGTTATGTAAACACATATATTTGGGTGTAGCATAGGCATCAGTACCGGAAAGGGGGTTACATGTAGGCATATAAATATTTTGCAAAGATATACATAATATATACATGTATGCATTAAAAATTGGGGCTTACCTGTGGGGTCAACTTTCAATTTGCTACCGTCGGCTATGTACAATGTTTAAGAAAAAAAAGAGTTGGGATGACAGACCTTCTACTCGTCTTCTCCTTGTTCTCAATGAGGTTAAATGAGTTCATGTAAATTTAAAAAAGTTTTTCGAAAGATATAATTACATGTATCACAATTTGATTTCCTCTATTACTAAAATCTAAGTCCAGAATTTTTATTTTCATACATATCTTTTTTTCAAAGTGCGCTATATGCCTCCATGGTAAAAAATGTTTATGTGCATTCTTAACGCACTTTGAAAAATTTTTTCAAAGTGCGTTGAGTGTGTCCAAAATTTAACGCACTTTGAAAAATATTACGCACTTTGAAAATTTTTTTCAAAGTGCGTAATTTTTTCAAAGTGCGTTGCCACATAGCACCTTTCATAAAAATTGGCACATTTTTTATAGCTACAAGTGTTTACACTTTAAAATCTTATTATATAAAGTGAAGCGGATGTCGTTGAACCTTAAAGATTTTGAGTGCCTGTGCCTGACATTTTAGTTCTTTATTGTATAACTGTGTCTTACTCTGGCCTTATATGAGGTCTATACATTTTCATTTTACTAACATGATTACAAAATTATGATTAATGCATAAAAACGTCTGTATTTTTGTGTTAATACACTTGTAAAGTTTTTTTTTCATTGATAGTTAAGAATTTGCTTGGCTACTGCAAGAGTCTATTTTAGTCAAATATACGACTTTAAAACTGCGTTCGTATGGTGTAAGATATGGAGATAACCAACAGTATTCAATATCAAAGTCCATAAAACAATACAAATTGTGATTGTGAGCGAGAGCATGCAGACATCTCCAAATCATCAGAGGTGGTATTAGGTGCCATTGATTATATGCTGAGAAGTGAAATTGCTTGCTTCAAAAAAGACGCCCTATGATTTCCACAAATTACTGCATCGGTCTCTGTTTTAATTATTAAGGTTGTTTAAAGCGATCGCTAATTAAATGCATTCAATTGTTTTCCGAAAAAACATGATGATTGCGAGTATAAAAAGGGGCGCACGTGGCTCATTCCTCTCCTTGTTTGATAGCTTTCCATGCGTTTATGCACTTGTGATAATTGTTTCCTGGCCACGACTCCCACTTAATGAGAAATTAAATCTTAGTTGTTGAGAGATTGTTTACTTTAAACATGTTTAGAATTTGAGATGATGCTGTTTCTGGTGTTTATTTGTATTTTTCAGGTTACATTTATCTATGGATATTTTTATGTTTATGGGCACAAAATTGAGATCTACTTTTAAGCTAAGTGGACTGAAAACTGGCGATATGTTGATGGTGCAGCTTATAGGATATGTCAGGCAAGCAAAGACATTAGTCAATATTATATTAATTATTGTTTATGTTTGATTATTTATTTTACGTGCTTGGTAGAGCATGTAGTGGCTCGCTAAAGCTACCCTAGGAGCAAAACAAGCTTGCTATGGAACGTACTAGGAGCTTGTGTGAGGGATTTGTTTGGTATAACAGTAACCTCGTACCCTCATAGGTATAACGGGTGGCTATTTTTGCCCCTCTCGGTATATTTGGGCTTACCTGTTCGGTATAACAGGTAGTAGCCTCCCTAAGGAATCCCCTTTGAGACAATTACACATCCCAGCTGACTCGCTAAGGGGTACCCTAGGAGTCGATTTATACATATTGTTATACCTTGCTAAGGATTACCCTAGAAGGTGAAGTGCCATAACGCCCTTTACCAATTTAGGTGTGTTGCACCCAATGATTGTTAAATGCTTGTTTGACATTTGTCATTCAAAATTATTAAAGCCTTTATCATCCAAAAACGTGTTTAGTTACTCTAAACCAACTTTTATTCGCGTGCGAGAAATTTTCGCGAAGTTCGCGAGAGACTCGTCATCGCGAATATTTCTTGCCGCGAACCGGTTCTTAAAGACTATGTGTCTATTAAAAAGAGAAACTAAATAAACTTTATCGCGAAAATTAATCGTCGCAAACTAGTTTACCACCGGTCAATCGCGAAATAAAGTCGTCGCGAATAAAAGTTGGTTTACAGCATTTTTTTTTGGAAAAAATATTCTATTAAATAGAAAGCACTTTATTAGAGTGTGTATGAAAAAGAACATAAGTATTTATTCACTAACACAGATTTGTATAGTTTTTAAGTGATGTCACAATCGTCTATTCGAGCCTCTTGATAGACTAACGAGAGTCCTTAACCTAGCTGTACGCTGGGACTAAATTAACATCCGAGTTTCAAAAGTAATATATCGGGTGACAAAAACGTGGACATTTGTCATATCTCGGGGATTCCCAATAATCTATTAATTAAAAAAAAAATTAAAAAAAAACATATAACGAAGCAAATCAAAGGATAAATCAACGCTCAGTTTGAGGTAAAGTTTTAGAGTTTTCATCATATCCGAGATAAAAACTAAAATGAGTATTTTGTGTGCCTCTATGTTCGTCTGCAAACTTTTCACATTTTCGGATTCTTGTCAAGAACAACTGAACCAATTATAGCCAAACTTGCCACGAAGCATCCTTGATTAAGCAGCAAGGTTAAAAGACTCTCGGAGATGCATAGAGGCACTATGTAACAAAATAAAGAATCTGGGGAAATTTTAGTTTAATTTAGCGGTAAAAGCGGATTTGAGGACAAAATAACAGCATTCATTTACTGTACTGTAATATGTTCAATTATTTTGCTATCAGGCATCCTTCTATTTTAATTAAGGTCTTCCGCTCAGGCGGAAGACCTTCTACTGATTCTGATGGTTAAGATTATCAAGGTCTTCCGTCTTCAGCGGAAGACCTTATTGTTTTTCTTAGGTTTCTTTTCCACTATTTTTATTATTGTTTTTTTTTCTTACCGATTTTGTGCGCGCGATTTCTCGAGAACGGCTCGATCGATTTTCATGAAACTTTCAGGTCTGATAGAACATAAAAAAAAACTAGATATATATTTTTTTTGTTTTGATGACGTCACTTCCGGTTCGGAGTTTTCTGCGATTTGGTGATTTTTAGAGGGTCACTTTGTCCGGCAGTTTTCTCAAAAAGTACTAAACACAGAAGCTTGAAAATTTCAGTGATGCTAGAACAACTTTTGGAGAAGTGCACTAAGTATATCACAACTACCGGAAGTACGAAGCGCCGACGCTCGCTATGTCCCAAAAATAGTCCTATCAAGAAATTCAAAATTTTAAGCACCTTTTCAACGATGACTTTTTACCTAGAAATATTTTGTTAAAGCATGTAGAACAAAAAAGGTGTAGAATTTCAAGATCTTTCAAATGACATCTGAAAAAAGGGCTGGCCCCTTAAATCAGGGGCCTGTAGGGGCCGAAAGTTTTTCCTTTATATCTAAAAAAGTATTGAGAATTTGTGATACGTCAAAGAAGCAAAGTTGTTCAAAATATCAAGCTTAATCTAATGAAGTCGTCAAAATACGTCCGGCGTCGTCACTTCCGGTCAAACCGGAAGTAGTCGGAAAACGCGTATTTTTGCCGTTCTTGACAAGTTTTTTGGTAATATTTGTCTCTGGGAGCATTAAAATTAATTTTCCGTCCGTCGTCGTCACTTCCGGTTAAACCGGTCAAACCGGAAATAACAGAAAATTGCTTATTTTTGCAATAATAAACATGGATTTAGAGGAATCAAACCATTTTTCGACGTTATTTCTCATTTTTGCTAGAAATGAAAGCCACTTCCGGTCAAACATGACGGAAGACCTACTCGTTGCTTTGCAACGAGCTTTGCTCTAGTTCCTATTATTCTTTTTTTTTTTTCCTAGACGCCAACTTTGAGACCTCGTAACTCGCTCATTTCTTAACGGATTTCGCTCAAATTTTCAGAGTTTTTGGACGTTACAAAACTCAATTTAAATGTTTTCATACATTTCAAAAATTCCCTTCCGCTTTTGAGTTATTTCCCTTTAAATGAAAATTTGGTGCTGTTTGTTTCCAGACAAAGGCTCAGAAACGACAAAAGCTGGAGCAGAATGTCTACTGCATATAAATACTAGAAGAATTGAAGTTGTGCACATCGGTTTTTCTTTTTCGATTTCAGCGCTCAAAACGGTGCTAGATAGGGGTCAAAAATGAGAATGCATAAAAGCGCAAAAATTTACATCTATTTCCTTATGTATCTTTTAAACTAAAAATAATTTGTTAAGCCATGTTTCACAAATATTGTGCATAATTTTAAGATCTATCATTTGACATCATTAAAAAGGGGCTGGCCCCTCAAATTAGGGGCCAAGGGCGCTCGAAAGTTTTTTGCTTTATAACTTAAAAACGGTAAATATTTCGATATGGTTATCGATTTGAAATGGGTTCTTTAGCATCTTATTGATCTCATGAAAACGTTATTTTGTTCTAGTCATGTTTTATTAGATGAGCAGAAAACTTTTTAGTCCGTGTACAGGTAAGTGATTTTATACGGCAAGTGAAGAAGAATTCTATATGCGTACGTACGCGTATAACACGTATAACTGAAATTAACTGGATAAGAATAATATACCTAGCTAAATTGAATGTTAAACTTTGTTGAAATAAGATTTTTAACGTATTCTCTAGCTGGATGTCATACAGATTACTCAGAGACAACTTTCTCCTTGTATTTAGTTTGAATTACAAGAAGGGAGATAGGAAAAATACTTATCATCTCTCATTCGATTGATACTCAATGTTGCATTATTTATTAAAAAAATCAAGCTTAAAATAATTCACTGTCATTTTATTCATGCATCGTGAATTTTCCTCGGACCTTGACTGTTTTGTTTACAGTTGTGCAACCTGTTTATCGATCGCGCATGCATTGACCTATATACATTCCGGAGGTCAACATTACCGCTCTTTGATCTTTACGCGAGTCCCAGAGTTATCTAAAACGATGCTAGTCATCGATTTACTCAGTTTAAAATCAAGAATTTAATTGTTATTTGCGTAAATCGTAAGAATATTTCTAGACACAAATATAAAGGTTTTCTTGAACATGTACGAGTATTAAAAGATAACTTTGACGAATGAATAAAAGGCGCTGCGATTTTGCTCAGGTACAGATGATTTCTCTGGACGAGTCCATCGGTTACACTGAAAGGTGACGCAGGATGACCTATCGATAACTCTGCCAATTTTGATAGTGATTGTAATTGCACATGTACATAAATTAATGTGAATTCTACCCTTGTGAAGTCCATTATAGTTTCATTATTTAAAGAATCAGGGATATCACTACTGCAACTTAATTGTTTTTAATTTAAACGGATGATTCTATATTATTGGAAAGGTACACATTTTTTAGGCGCCGTCGTCTCCCTCTCAACTTTGAAGTTACATGTATACGGGCCTATATCAAGTTATTCTAATTGTTGCTTATTTATTTCAGAAAAAAATTGCGATGTTGTTTAAATTAGCAATTACAAATAAACATGACAAATGCACACTGTAAATTGTAAGTGGAAGTGACGTTTTCAATTCTCATGAAAATCGAAAAAAAAATTAAGTAACTTTGAGTTTTGCATAATTTTCTACATAACTTATCATTGTATTTTTCCGAATGATATGCTCATAAATTTCTTTTATTTCCTCAAATAAAAAGCTAGAATATCACAATGACACGATTTTATGTGCATGTACATGATATTAACTAAACTACATGCTGTTTTACACAGAAGAGCACCCACCATGAGCTTTAAGAATACGAGAAAAAAAAAGAATAATTAGAAATTCTTATAACAAATGCAAAATTTCTTCCTGTAATTTCATACAAATATTCCAAGCCTTTCTTTCGTGTTTATTGGACTAAAAGAGATTAATTATTAAATTTCCTCTCATTGCGATACGTAACCCCCATGAAATGATACAATGCTTTCCTTCAGAGTCGAGAATGGCAGGTCAGGGCTGGTGATGAAATCCATGATTACTCCATAACCTATTATAATATTAACCAAAAATCATACGCGATATTGTTTTTCGCAGGTTGTCAAATAAATTTAAGAAAAGGTTAGCAAAGATGAGTATGCCGCACTAAACTTTTTTATTCATAAACTATTTAATTTCTAGAGTGTACAATCGAGCATCGAAGTGTGTATATGTACTACATGTACTAGTTTTTTTTTGTTTGTTTGTTTTGTTTTTTTTTTTGGGGGGGGGGGGGGGGGGGGTACCAGTTTTCGCTGCATTTGATTTCCTAAATTTTGCATTGCATTTCCGACAATTAAACAAAGTTAATAGAATATAATTGGTGACAGTAACACAAGTGATTTATAAAACGAAAGTCAAGCAATAAAACGTTAAAGTTTGTATTTTGAAAAATAAATCAAGTCAAGTCACATAAAACAAAGACAGGTTGAAACGCTTACATACAAACGTTTTGGTAACTCGGAATAGTCCAGAGTAAAACTATATTTTCTTGATGACGGAATGTCCAGTACATCTAATGTTCACGTCCGGGATAGTCCACGGCAGTTTTATCACACATACGCAATTATCATACAAGTCGAACGCTCTTTGAGGTTGAGGATTGACACTAATTCCTTAGATAAATACTGACTGACAAATTCCTTTTTACTGTCTTAACTTTACTTGATAGGTAAATAATTTTAGTATATGTTAAAAATAAGCATTAGAAATAATTCTTTTCATAAAATTCAATTCTGTTACATTTCAAATGAATTTGTAAAATTAACTTTATGACAATTGTCATGCTGCAGATCTGTAGCTCGCTAGCTGTTCTAAAAAAAAATTGAGATGGATCACCAGAGAGCTACAGTGCCATCCATATTATCTCAAGTTCAGGCTCAGAAGGACTATTAAAAACGGTTGTAAGGAATGTTTAATTGTAGAAAAATTTAAGGAATGTGTTAGAGACACACGGTAAATAATATTTTTAGATTCAAGCAGTTGAAAAACACGGATATTGAATATAGCTTCAGTGCAATTTTTTTCTAATATTTTCTAGTTTTTTATTCTTCGTATTTCTCAATTTCTCATGTTCAAATAACGTGTATTTATTTTTATTAGGGAACATTAAACCTTATTTGTCAACCAGTCTGACAGTGTCCATCTATCACGAGAACTTTAAACTTGATAATAACTATTGAATGAGTTGAAATAGGACTTTAATTTCATATTTCACATGTGCATTATTTGTGACGTGATTTTCAAATATACTGTGATTTTTAACCCCGTGACCTTGATCTTGACCTACTTAAAAAATAAAATTAATTTAAATTGACCATAACAATTGAAAGCTTTCATTTTATAAACATGTACATGTAATACCTGTGTCAACGCCTTTGAAAATTCATTATGATTTTTTACCCTTTGACCTTGAAGTTTGACCCACTTTTCAAAAACATTAACCATAGTCATACCTTTTGAGAGAAAAGAGA